CCCAACTGGCGGCCGACTACTAAAGGGGTTGATAAGAGCAGCTCCCGCTACTAGAGGGGGTGACAAGGGCAGTCCCCGTTAGGAGACCCTTCGGTACAGAAAGGAAGGTTCGACATCAACAACCAAGTCAATTTCGGATTAGGTGGGGGCAGTCTGCCCGAGTTTGGCTAGTATAGATGCTGGTACTGAGATACGACGTCTGGTCTACGGGCACCGGGACACGCCTGGTGAATCAGCAGAATCAGACTAGAGCACCCCCCTCTAGACTCCTGTAGCCCCTTGAACACCAATTTATAACCCCCCCCAAACAGCAGAATCACCAGAATCAGACTTTAAAGCGCCCCCTTTAGACTCCTATAGCCCCTTGAAAACCAATTTAAACCCGCCCCGAACAGCAGAAAATCAGCCGAATCAGACTCATACCCCCCTTAAACAGAGGAATCAGCCGAATCGGACTTTAAAGCACCCCCCTTCAAACTCCTGTAGCCCCTTGAAAACCAATTTACCTTCCCCCCTTCCCCACCACACCCACTTGACAGACGAGACTCAAAATAAAAAATGAGCCCGTATTTTATACCCCCCCTGCTTGGTGGGCTGACTTATACACATGTAAATGATAATGAGCACAGATACAGAGCACATTAAGAGAGGGAGAAGGGGTGGGGGAAGAGGGGGCAGGGAGAGGGAGGGGGAGGGGGAGGGGGGGGGGAGGGAGTTGTGCGAGGTGGATGGGGACGGAAATTCTAAGCAGCAAAGATCAAGGTTTACAAAGGAGTCCTAATGCAACGCACCTGCGTTCGGCTGTGATAGGCCATGAAATCCCGCATGAATGTGTAGTACGGGTTCACGACTGCGTACAAGAAAGGAACGATAGCTTGCAAGACCTGCAAGGAAAAATTGGAGACAATATATTTCCGAAATTGTCAGCAAAAAAAAAAAAAACGGACGGAAAAAAAAAGAAGAAATTAGTAAAAATTTACAAACGACTCGAATGGGTCCGAATTGCTGGTACGAATCATTGTTGGCAATTTGTTATTTTTGTTTGTTTTTTTTTTTCCCGAAATGTCTTTCCTCAGTTGTTTAATTTTTCATGATTATGGATGCCTGACTTTTTCCCAAGTTGCCTTCACTGGCGACCAAAAACAAGAGAAAAAAAAGAAAAAAGAAAAAAAAAAGAAAGAGTTTGAATACCTTTACAGGGAAAAAAAACAAGACAAAAGAGCGCTCCACGCCGGGTGTGGACAGAGATAAAGTTCATTTAGGATTTCTTTCTTCTTTCCGTTCTAATGAAAAGAGCAAAAAGTGCAGTCTTCAGTGTCGTCTCTCTCTCCCACTCTCTCTCTCTCTCTCTCTCTCTCTCTCTCTCTCTCTCTCTCTCTCTCGCTCGCTCTCTCTCTCGCTCTCTCTCGCTCTCTCTCTTGACGTCGAGTGGCGATGATGAATATACCTGAATGTAAAACGCTTGGTCAACCAATCCACCTGGAACAAACCTGCACTCACAAAGCCACAAATCGAGTCCACATACATGAGCAGAAGAGCTCAGTATTTTCTCCGTTCCATCCTGTTCAACCCAAGATAGCCCATTGCCCGAATAGCCCTCCCGGTCATTATAGCTGTATCTGGGTCTCGTTTCAGTCCAGATGCAGCGTTTACGAACTGGAAGTTTATTCCGGTTAAGACTAACACCGATTGACGTTTTCCGTACTAGATTTTCCCTTTCTATGTTTTTTTAATACGATTGCAGAATAAAAATCACCTCTTCTTTTTTTCTTCACTAGTCCTTCCATGCATGGTGCTACATGCGTCAAGAACGCAACACACTGTCCATTGTCGATCTTTATAGCTGTATTTGGCGCAACTTCCAGTCCAGATGCAGCGTTAGTGAACTGGGATTTTATTCCGGTTAACAGTCTTAAGACTAAGACAGATTGACGTTTTTTTGTTTTTTTTAATACCCTTTTTTTTCTTAATTTACTCGTCCTTCCATGCGTTGGGCTACATGCCTCAAGAAGGCAGACCCTCCTTCACACTGTCCCTTGCCGGTCATTATCGCTGTATTTGGGCCAACTTGCAGTCCAGATGCAGCATTTATAAACCGGAATTTTATTCCGGTGCAGGTTAACACAGATCACCTTTCCAGTCCAGCTTCCATTGTCTACTTACTTTCACAAGCTCTCTCTGGCGAGTGGCCTCTACCATCATGTATGTTACTGTAATGTACAGTAACATGAACTTCCTTTTTTTTTTAATTATTTATTTATTTTAATTAAAAAAGGCTAATTCTTTAAGCCCAACCAATTCAAATACCTGTCGAATTGAGCAGAGACTGCTGATGTTCATAGGGGGAGGGGACCGCTGGCCTGTATCACCCACCTGCTGTAGCAGGTATCACACCTGTGCAGGTGGGCGTGCCGCTCCTGCATGTTCCCTCGTTGGGCTTGAGCACGGATGTGGCTGATACGGGGTTCCCCATATAATACTATAATGACAATTAAAAAAAGGCCTCAAAGGCCATCCTGTCCAGATTATTATTTTTTAAATACCGTTGCAAGATAAAAATAAAATAAAAACCACCTTTTATTTTTCCACTCGTCCTCCCATGCATGCGACCACGTGTTTCATTAACGCACAGTCACGTGTCCCCCACATCTTCAACCGTCAACGTCTAAACCCTGAAGGGCCTAACCCCCTAAAGGGCCAAAACCCACAACCATATAGCCATCGTCCCGAAAATCACCAGCGATCCGAGGAATGAACAATTGCTGCGCAGAAGCCGTTTGCTGCTCAAGCCTTTCTTACAAAATTACAAATAGTTTTGCAATTTAACCTCATTTGTTTTGCAAGAAAGCCATTTCACGCCGTTTCCTGCCGTTTGCTCCCGTTTAGAGCCTTTTAACTGTCGTTTACTAAGAATGACATCTTACCAATTTCTTGGATGGATCGCAATCAGCGGAAGAATTCCACCGTTAACAAGATAAACCATCGTCAGTTTCCAGACCAGTCTTTTCTCCCTTCCGTTCCTTGTGTGGGGCCTCTCATAGTTGTCAGTCAGATATCTGCAGAACACGAACACAAGGGAAAAACACAAAACACAAAAGAAAAAGGACAAGTACAGAGGCGTCCACAGAGTCAAAACAACCAAGGACAAAAAAAACAAAACAAGAAAAAAACGAAGTACTACTTCAAAACCGCAGCCATATAGAGAGCATACAACCAAGTCTTCCGTCTTCCGTCCACTTTCCTCCCGTTACTTTCTGCCTCTCTCTCTCTCTCTCTCTCTCTCTCTCTCTCTCTCTCTCTCTCTCTCTCTCTCTCTCTCTCTCTCTCTCTGTGTGTGTGTCTGTGTGTGTGTGTGTGTGTAACCCACTCTCTCTCTCTCACACACACACACTCTCTCTCTCTCTCTCTCTGTGTAACCCACTCTCTCTCCCTCTCACACACACACACACTCCCTCTCTGTCTGTATCCCACTCTCTCTCTCTCTCTCTCACACACACACACACACACACAGAGGGACAGATTGCTCTGTTTTTCACTTCTCCTTGGCCTTGAGATTGAATTACAGAGTGCGATGGGAAATGAACAGGCGAAAGTGAAGCGAAGGATCGAACACACAACCTACCTCACAACGCTTGCGACGAGAAAGTTGATAAGAATAACGGACAACGCAGCAAACACTGTCAACGGGTGGAAGACATCGCCAAAGCTGCCCCTGCAAGGGAAAACCATAAAGCCGAGGCTCAGTAAGTCCAGGTACAAGGTACCGACATGCAAGCCGAGGACGGGTAAACAAAATCGGGATCGGGTGCCTCAAAAGGGGAAACCACAGCAAATGAGAATAGCAAAAGAGAAAAGAGAATAGCAAATGAGAATAGCGAAAGAGAAAAGAGGATAGCAAATGAGAATAGCAAAAGAGAAAAGAGAATAGCAAATGAGAATAGCAAAAGAGAAAAGAGAATAGCAAATGAGAATAGAAAATAGGTAGGTACTTAGTACTTACTCGTTCTCCCTCTCCCTTTCTCTCATATCATTGCGGCGAGCTTCCTTGATCCTCTCCAACGCGACCTACAGGCAGACACCAAACGACTTTCCTAATTAAGTAACTTCCTATTAAAAAAAAAAGATAAAAATGCGAATCACGTGATGAACATAAAGGACATTATTTCATCAATGCAGAGTAAACGTTGTACTACCATCACGTCTGCACACCTTCCTAATTTTTCTTTCTCTTTTGCTTTTTTTTTCTTTATTTAAATTATTTTCCGATGACAGTCGCGCTCGGGATTACCTTTGTTACTATTGCGTACTGTCATCGGAAAATAATATAAATAAAGAAAAGTAATTTCCCTTCTCCTTCCTATTTCCCTCTCTTCTCTACTTCTCTCTTCTTATTTGTCTGTCGCCATCTTTGTCATCTATGTGTCTTTGATGTGTGGTGCTTGCGGCACTTACGCTTGAGTCTCGTCGTATGCCATCTTCTCTGTTTTTTTTTGTGAACCATGCATGGTGCATGCCGTACTTATGCTGTCATTCGGTATCTAGCTGTACGCTTCGACTGTATACACTTTACCTATCATCATTCAGCTGACCAGGACCAGATTATTCCGAATTACTTTATCCGTTCATCTGATTGCATCTGTATTTGATTGAAATTGCGTCCACATTTCAACAGTTCATGGCTGTAACAACTGAGCAAGACCTTCCTAATTAAGTAAGTTCATATCGATTTGTGTTTTTCAACAGTTCATGGGTGTTCCAACTGAGCAAGACCTGTTGTCACGAAGCAGAGAGCTAACTAAAAATACACCACACACACACACACACACACACACACACACACACAGAGAGAGAGAGAGAGAGAGAGAGAGAGAGAGAGAGAGAGAGAGAGAGAGGGAGAGAGGGAGAGAGAGAGAGAGAGAGAGGGAGGCAAGGTTTGGCAAGACCTGCCATAAGTAGTGGCAAGTTTTGGCAAGCAAGAACCTGGTCCAATTAACGTACCTGGATTCCTAGACCGGCAGCAATCGCTGTTGCAGAGCCAATAAACGAAATGAAGTTCCTCTGCCGCTTGTTCGCTCCCACCACATCCATGTTCTTCCATCTGGACCACCACAATTCAAAAAAACGACCAGGCACAATGTCAGCTCTTCACCTTCTTTTTTTTTTCTTTTTTTTTTTTTTTTTTTTTTTGGTTTTCCGATGGACCATGGATTGTTAGAAATAGAACAAAAAGTCTGACAAAAAAAACGAAAAAAAAAGCCGATAGGCACACAGAGAGACAAAGACAGACCGACAGACGGGTTGGCATCGACAACGTAAGCCGAAGGTTTACTACCGAATATATGGTTCAGGTACAGGCAGATTTGATCTGATTCACAACAGACCTAGCCTTGTCGGGGCTGAAGAACATATGATCGAAAGAAAGCAGCGAGGTATATAACAATGCCTCGGCTCTTCCCAAACGAGTCAGAAAAAGAAGAATTCCCAAGGCATGGGCAAAAAATAAATAAAATGAATAGTTCCCAACTTCCCGGGCAGATGAATTAACTTGCCTGAGGTTATTTTTCGACTAGTCGTCCTTTCACACTACGAAAAAGGAGAAGAAAAAAAGAACAAAAGAAAGGGAGCGCTCCGTGCACAGGGAGGCATTGCTACGCCGAAGGCAGATGTGTTTTATGTTCTTCCGACTGGGCTCGGACACTGGATCTGGTCATCAAGATACACGGAAAAAAAAAAAAAAAAAAAAAAAGAGCTGTACGTATTGTACCGTTCACAATGCAGGCAGGCCAGTTTTTTTCTCTCTTTTGTAATTGCTCCAGCAAACCGGGCAACGCACCCTTCGAAAGAGAAAAAGAGCAGCAGATATACAGGAAAGCTAAAAAAAACTTTAAAAAAAAAATAAAAGAAAAAAATTAAAAAATAAAATATATTTCTTCCTCAGTTTTTAAACAATGACAGACGGCAAAAATACTTTGTTAACTTGTTAACCCACAAACTCACCATTTTCCACTGCCCGGGCAAATCAGTGAAAAAATAAAATAAAATTTAATAATTTTTAATTGGGTGTTGGAGGGTTGAGGGGTGCAGGGAAGGAGGGCGG